TTCGACGAGGTAAGAGCCTGACTATTCGTTCTAAAGTAACCATGGAATTAAGTTCCGTTTTGCAATTTAGCTGTTCTAAGGTTAAAGCAGCGTTCTGCATTTTAATAGCCAAATTCGTCAATAATTCAGGATCATTAAAATCTGCGTTCCCAGTTCTAAATAAGTCCTCTAAGTTTTCTCGGGCTATTACATGCGACTGTCCAAAGAGCTGTTTTAAAATGGCCTTAGCTCTCTTATATCCTGCTTGTGGATCCATAATAATACAATCTTCAATCGCATTTTTTGCCCTTCCTTTACAATAATGAATTAAATACAATAAACGAACTTGGTCATCTTTTATTCTGGGTTCTATAAACGTTTCTATTTGACGCATGAACCTAAAATAGTCGCGAGACTTTCCATCAAAAAATGAAAGTTCAACCTTAGGTAGTTATAAGCCTACTATCGGTGTCCTAAGCATCTGATCGGTCTCTGGTACCTTAGAACTCTCACTTAATCCTGGCTCCTTAATGCCTGCCAAGGGTGACTTACAATAATAAGTATCAGACATAAGATGTGGGTTACCCATAAAAAATTCATCAATAACGACTTGCTTAGAGTTCTGGGATCCGTCGAGCTCTTCCACCCTCCTCATGTTTGATTTCTTCCGACTTGACATCATAAATGAAGTTCAATATAAGAAAAGTAACAAATACAAAATATAGTAATTCCACAGATCAGTTCAAGGAAAATGTCCAAGATCAAAATTTCTTCCTCCAAGATACAATTCGAATACGAAAATATAATAAATAATCCAAAATTCTTCTTCGAAGAAAGTTTAGTGTGATAAACGATTAAAATTCCAAATATTTCTTTATAATTCTTAATAATGCAACTGTAATTTGTCTTCTAATCAAAGGGTAACAGATAATTCCAGAATATAAACGTTTATAGGAATATTTCCAGACTGTAAATGGACTGAATTCCAATATTAGTTAGACTGTAGTTGAATTCTCTATCGTGACAGTTCAATTCGATTCCAATAGACGTAGGTTGGACGCACTTCCCGATTTTGAAATTAAAACACAATAATTCTAGGGGAAAATGGTCTATTTACAAATGACAAATGGAAATACAAATAATACCTAACTAATATTACGTCTTCCAATTCAGAATTACTCCGAACGAGTATCAATGTTCCGAGGTCTAGGTGAACTCCTATACTGCACGATGTTGAATCCAAAAATGTGGCGGTAGCCATATTATATCAAATTTAAACAACATATGTACAGTTCAGAAGCAAACATAAAAACTTCAATATAAGTACAAAATATAGAAAGAATAACAATATACAATGATAAAATCTCAAATTGGAATCAAATAAAATACCAAAAATGTCAACAGAAAAGGTCCGTCATGTCATAACAAAAATATGTAAACATGGAGGGATTTTCCAAAACACAAAACATTCAAAAAGGATTCTACACATAGGTCTTGTGTCTCTGAAACGGAACATGAAGAACAACAAGTGAGTATATCAGTTTCGAAATGCGATACTAATGCTGTTCTTTCATGTAGTGATATGAGTTATACAACAATGGAAGAGTTCCACTCTACAGATGCTAATGCAGACCGAATCGACGCGACTTGTCTGACAGAACGGAATCATGATGACGTTGATAATAATCTGGATGTCACTGATGTGACAAATGAGTTACTGACGATGACGAATGCTGATCAAACCTCCTCTGTATCAGGAGATGGAAGGATAAATATTGATCCCACGTCATGCTACTTAAAGTCTTCTGGAGACGATGAAATGTCAAAATTGGAGATCCCACCCTTGCATATTATCTATGGGTCAAGAATTCCTATTGATAAGTTAGCATCACGGACTTCTTTGTATCTGCTGATCGGAGCAAGTGGTGGTGGATTGGCGACTCGTCCCCATGATAGGGAATGTAGTTCCCGGATAGGATATGACCAGTTTTACGACGTGTTGTACATGTTTATATGGGTTAATTGGGTAAGGTCTATACTACCGTTAGGTCATGCTACGATAGATAGGGGAATCAAGGGCCTGATGGGAAAGTATAGGTACCTAGTTAGCACGATAGGTCATATCCATGTTGGGTGGCGGGTAGGCGTACCGCTGTAAGTCCTACACGTTATTCCGGTGTGGATTAGGGGATGAGAGGGAACCCTAAATGAAGTGTCATTAACGCTTGCCTTTTTTTCATGGAGGGATTTTGCGGACCGGTGTAGAATCCTTTTTGAATGTTTTGTTTTTTGGAAAATCCCTCCTTGTTTTTATATTAGTATTATGACTTGACGGACTCGTTCTGTTGACATTTTGGTACTCTATTTGATTCCAATTTGAGATTTTATCATTGTATATTGTTATTCTTTCTATATTTTGTACTTATATTGAAGTTTTTGTGTTTGCTTCTGAACTGTACACATGTTGTTTAAATTTGATCTTTAATATGGCTACAGCCATATTTGGATTTGATATCGTCGCAGTATACTAGCTTCACCTAATCTTTTGAACTCGGATACGCATCAGAGTAATTTTGAATTGGAAGGCGTAATAATAATAATAATCAACATCTAGATGGTGATTTATAAAATGTGTATTCACTTCTTGTTATTGATCGATGAGTCTGTTATTTCCTATGACATTGGAAGTGTCTGAATCTGATTATCCGCTGTGACATCCATGCGATCCTGTCGCTTCTCGTTTGAATATGCCAAGTTGACAAGGCTTTAGATCTGAAGTAACCTCTATGTCTTTTAATGGGAATGATGAGCTTAGATTTTCGCTCAGATGGATAAACTGTTTGGCTTAGTTACAGCAGCTAAGCTTGAACAGAGTTAGACAGGTTGATGAATCGGATATTTTTCTGGGGCAAATGACATGTAAATCGAGATCGAGCATACTATATGCTTGAAGACAGGTATTACTCAGCTTAGGTGAGTGTAGGATTCAAACTGAGGTTTGGATTGAGGAATAACTGTCCAGGTAATTTAGATACTCGCCTTGCCCAGTTTTAATCCAAAACAAGTGATTTGGGTAAGTAACGGTTCCATTATTAATCATAATTATAAATATACATCATTACCTAAACAATATTACCACGTTATTCCTTCGATGATTACACACAGTGTTTCCATTTCTGGAACAATGCTCCAATCCACGATCAAATGCACACTTCCAGTCAATGCAACCACTTCAGCCAACAGAGGAACAAATCAATATGGCTGTTGCCATAACTAAGTATAAGCTTAAACAAGATAAGGCACAAAAAACTATAATAAAATACAAATATTATTATCTCAAAATGGAATTGAACAGATTACCAAAATGTAGAACTTATAGAATCAATAAGGACATATTATAAATTTATACATGGAGGGATTTTCACAAACAAGGCCTTCCAAAATGGATGATACAGCGAGGGTGTTCAGTCAAGCAGATTGTATGTAATCGAATTGAAGGAAGACATTGTCGTAGCCTTGTCGTAACTTCATCAGCTACAAACTCTAAGATTTATTCAGCTTTAGTTAGTTCCTTGTAGATTTTCCTCATTATTTGAGGCCCATATCTGCGTTAGGGGTGTTAAATGGGTAAGCTTATCGTCAATTTGGGCAGTTGAGTTTTGTAACGTTTGTGCATCTTTGCCGCGATGATTAATATAGTAGTCAGTGTCGGATGGATCATTTGACATCTCGGAAAACCAGTAGAGGTTTTTTCCAAGAGTTGATAATGAGTCGAAAAGCAGTGAGATTACAGTGAACCTCAGAGTAATCTGTATGATATAAAACACTCGATTCAAACAAATCAGCGAAGGTTCCGAATAATGAATCAGCAACACTAATCTCAGGAGCACTAATCTGTACATACTGCGTCGAACTTCGGAGGTCCATTGGGAGCAAGGCGGATCAGTTCGAGCTGCTAAAGGAACTAACGGCAACAGAGAGGTGAATGGTTGATATCGGGTTAATTCTTGAACAGTAGAAATGTCATGTAATGAAAAGTCTGCCCCGTGTGATATGAAAAACCTACGTCCTCCATGGGAGTCCGCCTCTAACTGTCTCCCCAGAGCACGACCTCGGTCTAAAGACCACAGAAGATCTAAATACCACTGTAAACTAAGAAGGAGATGCAGACTAGGCAAAGGCAACTCTTCACTTGATACGAAGACAGCTTGGTTCACTTACTACAGAATTGTTCTTGACTCTCTCCAAAACATACGCACGGTCCAGCCATGAGGTTTACACAGTCTTTGCACTTTCCCTTCCTCACAGAGACGTGAATCTTTTGCACATGGAAGAATAAATGCCCAAGTACGCACCACTTATTCTCACCAAGAGATGCCTCCCACTGTGCCCAGCGAATAGCCTCGAGAGGAGACTTGTCAAACACTGATTCACATAAGGTCTATCACCACTATCAATGCCTGATATATGTCTCGCAACCAGTTTGTTTTTATCATTATCATTTTCCCAGATCGCCAACTTATTCCTTCCCACCTGGTAAAATCTTTGTTCTCCTCTTTATCCTTTCACTTCAGTCCTCTCAGATTGTCTGACTTATTCACTTTTTTATCAGACGCTCGTCTTCCATAGAGTACTGACATTTTTTCCTTCTTATCCTGCACATTGCAACCAACTGATCTCTAGCATGGTTATGTGATAACTAGTCGTATTCAGAAAATCCACTGCCCTGAGACAAATGCTGTCGTGTAGTCACATGACAGACAAATTAGTAAAGAATTGCCAACTGACTGGAATTAGTACAGTCTAGAGGCTAGGCTACCATTCATTAGAAATTATAAAACACCTTGGATCGTACCGAAAGGCAAGAAACGAGTTCAAAGAAACAGTTAATTTATACTAGCTCATGAAATAAATATTTGATATTAGATTTATGCTATACCTTCAAAATTTTAGGCCACTTCCGCTTGAAGGTCTCAAAGAAATCAATTGGCTTACACTAGCTCGTAAAAAATATATTGGACATTGGATATTGTAAGGTCATGCTCCCCCTTAACTTGTTGTTTCTTAGTCGAATCCGACCAGTTTGTAGCCTTGTCAATTTGACTACAGCAAGCTCCCTGCAAGATTGGATTCGAAGTAGTACTCCGAGAAAACCTACACGTTTCAAGTTACACAAGGCTTTCACGGTTCTTGAAAATGAGTTGTATGTTCTAATCGCCCACATATTTTCTCTGTAGTTTGGAGTTAAATCAGCCGAAACTCTTTTCACTGCCACAGAATAGTACTTTTCTGCATCAGAGTAAGTCTTCTAGTCCTTCTTAATTCATACTTTTCGCTCAAAGTAGTATTCTGGTTAATTTTATTTTGGCAGAATAATAAATTTAGTCCTCATTAATAAGAATAATTTGGCAGTAGAGTTTGTTAGTCCTATAAGCTTTCTTCAAGGGATGGTGCAGCCACTTCTTAATAGTGTGAGCTCATACCTTTGATATCGCTTTTTTGGGTAAGGCGTTCTAGTCACTGACCAATCTTTTTGAAATAAGGTATCATACTAATATTCTCTCCAATCTCAAGTTTTTAACTTTCTTGCAGTTGCCTCGAAGAGAATTGGTTTCGTTTGGAGAGCAGGGATACGATGTGTTACCACACAGATCATTATTTAAAATATGCAAACATCACTTCCGGTTCAATGATAAGAGGTGTTGGTTTGAACGTTTTAAGCACCAGTAGTTAGTTTGAAAGGCTCGTCACTAACTTAGTCCTGACATATTGGGTGTGATAGCATTCTTAATGGAACATGGATGCAAAACTCCAAGTGATATCGCACATACTTGTGGTATAAGATCCGAAGCATTCGATTGCTCGTCACTGAGCATGACACCCGGAAAGCTCGGTAGAGGTTGCAATATGCAGTCAGTTAGCTGCAACGCAGAATTTCGTAAGTCAGTACATCAGTTCATATTGTCATACTACATTAGCACAGATATAATTTTCAATTCAAATCCCATAGTGTTAGAGGTAGTAGAAGAATTACCGCTAATGGAGATTAGGATTTGAAGATAATATTCAAGAAATATAATTCAATGAGATAAGTTTAAGAAGACAAGGGAAGAGGTGTTGACGAATCCAGAAGATTAGGATTTAAGAGAACACAGCGAGTGAAGTTGCGCAGTTGTTTTCAGATTATGACTTTCTGTTATTGCTTTGTTATTTTGTTTCTGTACTCGTGGAAGCAATATATTGATAACTACTGCCGCATCCAATATACATTAGCTCCCTTTTCCCAGGACCATATTCTAAGACCTAGTTAAAGGACCATCTGACTAATTCGTTTAGGTCAGCTTGAGAATCGAAGTATCCAGTCTCAGTACTTATTGTTCTCCAAGTTTTGACATCATTGACAAACAACAGTGTCGAGGAATCAAATGTTTAGGGGTAAAACAGAGGACCCAAGGTGATGTCTTGCGGTACACCACAATCTACGGGCTTCCATCTAAATAGTATCCTGTTAACTCTCACCCACCGTCTTCGGCCACAGAAGTTTCTTGTCCACTCTCATACGACACCTGTTATTCCGGAACTCAAGAACTTGTGAATAAGTTCCAAGTGAGAAACCTTATCAAATTCTTTGATAAAATCTATCAATATCATATCATGGGACAAGCTGCTATCCTTAGCTGCCTCCCGGTCCTCTCTCGTATTTAGTTGGTTTGGCAAATACATATTCTAAATCTCGCCTTGCTCAGGATTTGACAGATTGTATCATTCATTCTACGTGACTACCTAACAGCCTGAATTGTTTTGCAAGTAGTCTGACTACTATGCTGGTTAGACTGATAGGTTATCAGTTAGACATGATATGTTTCTTGTATTATCTTAAGAAACATCAATTTTTAGGGAAAGTTTGCACAATATATTATGGATTGAGTTTATTCAGTCAGTCAGATGCAACGTAGAACTTCGTACGTAAGTACATCAGTTCATGTTGCCATACCACATCAGCACAGAGATGTAATTGTCTATTCAAATCCAATAGTAGAAGAGGTAGTAAAGGTATTAGGAGTAATCGAGGAGGTTAGGATTAGAATACATTATTCAAGAAGTAGGATCTAATGAGAAAAGTTTAGAAAGTCAAAACTAGAGTTGTTGAAGAACCCAGAAGACTAGGATTTGAGAGAACACAAAGCATAAATGCACCGGCGCCATTGCGAACGATTTTGAGCCATGTCATTCAAGGTCTCTAACCATCGATTATTATCATCTCGGCGACCCCAACCAGGTAGTCGACAATTACCGACATGGCTAAGTCCACTCGTCAATGACTTCATGGATTTCTGCCATGTTTTGGTTTGGCCGCCCCTAGCTTTCTTACAACCTATTCCTACATTACAAAACAAAGCTCGTCGAGGCAATTGTTGGTTAATCATACGCAACACATGTCCCAACCACCTCAAAGGATGAAATTTCAGCACTTCATCTGTTGATCTGCCACTCTTACTTAGCACCCGTTTCCTAATAACAGCGTTGCTCACTCGAGTGTCCCAGGATATACGAGCAATGCTTCGAAGACACCTATGATCGAAAACCAATAACCGACGAGTATCTTCTACTCTCGTTGGCCATGTTTCACAGCCATAAAGTAAGACGTAGCGAACCACTGTACAGTACACTCGTCCTTTAGTCAGCAAACGGATATCTCGCCTACGCCATAAGTGACGCAGGTTCGCAAAAGCCAAACGAGCCTTCTGTATAAGAGCTCAGATTTCGTCAGTCAGCATTTTTTCAGCGTCTTCACTAAGTAGGACAATGTCATCGGCATATTGTAAGTCAATAAGCGAGCCATCTGGTAAAAGGTCTACTCCTGAAAATTCAGACGAGGATAGGGTTATTTCTAGCAGCATGTCAATGATAAAATTAAACAAGAATGGAGAGAGTGGACATCCCTGACGGACACCACTTGAAGTAAAGAATTCCGGTGACAGTTCGCCATAAGCTCTCACTCGACCAGTGGTGTTCGAGTGGAGAGCTTGTATGAGGTTAATGTACTTCTCTGGTACACCTTTCAATGACAGGTGCTGCCACAGAAACTCACGATCAACTGAGTCGAATGCCGCCTTAATGTCCAGGAATACAACTATGGTAGGACGCCTAATTGTGTGTCTGTGTTCCATGAACTGTCGTAGTGTGAAGATGTGGTCTATACAGCCACGTCCAGGTCGAAAACCAGACTGGTTTTCTCGAGTCTGCTCTTCACGAGCTTTCGTTAAGCGTCGAAGTATTACTGAGGCTAATATTTTAGAAAGTATGTTAGTTAGAATTTTTCCCGTGATTGTCACAAGAGGACTTTTGTCGTTTCTCATAGATTGAGACAATCAGTGATTGAGACCAGTCGGATGGGATTATGTCCTGTTCCCAGATTCTATATAAGATCTCAGTCAACCTAGCTGCTAAAACTGGACCACCATCCTTGAATATCTCAGGGGTCAGTCTATCAGGACCTGCAGCTCGCCCTCGTTTCAGATTTCCTAACGCTTTCTTAACTTCATTAAGACTAGGGGGACTTACGTCAATTTGCCATTCAGGATGACTGGAGATCGTGAGTAATCGAAGAGTGGCTCGAGGCCAATTGAACTGATCCCTAAAGTGTTCTGTCCATTGATCCAGTCTCCTGGATTGAGAATAAATAATAGTCCCGTCATATTCTGAGATAGTCTCACTTACACTAGGATTCCTAATACCAGTTTCCTTGATAAGTCGGAGAAGTTGTCTAGTGTTCCCTATCGCCGCTGCCTTTTCCATCTCTCTCGCTTTCGCCACCCGCCACTGTTCTCGATCACTGCGTAGGCTTCTTTTCAGCCTACGTCTAAGCTGACTCCGCTCCTCATCGCCCTCAGAGCCAGGCGGGATGAGTTTTCGAGCATCCATGTTGTAAGAATTGAAACCTAATACTGGGAACTATCTTGATTTTACTGTGTTTATTATCATTTTGAAGGAAGGTTGTGTTAAATTCTTGTTATTTTGTTTGTTAAGTCTTCTAATGCTTCTTTAGTTTGAGCTTCATCTTGACCATCACCAGGTGGTGGCCTGGGAAATATGGACTCATCTCTTTAATCTTCACTGCTATCGAAAATGGATGCATAGCACTAGATAACTTCTGATTAATTTCATTTCTTCATTGTTTTAAAGAATGCTTCGATATACCTCGGTCTAAGAAATTCCCATCTTTTACATTCTTTTCGGCGTGTATTCCTCGTACGTTCAAGGCTTTCTGCTCTTTATAGCCAGAGTAAAAGATTACCTCTACCGAAGCTAGACTTTTATCTCCAGCTTGCGTCTAATGGATATCCTTTATTCCGTTAATATTTTGGTTGTACCTTTTCATTTTTGCAGTTTCATAAAAGTACGTCCAACTATTCAGTGCTATCATCAGTCATCCTGTTCTGTCATAATACAGGATATCGGATGGCAATCAACAAGGTCTTTTATTTCGCTGCATTCGCCTTTTTTCGATAGACTTCGGCCAGTACTAGTTGCTAGCGCACTGTCTGGGAATTAATTGCACCAAAAGTTTCTGCTTAATCTCTCAGGACCCCATGTTCTCGCCTGCTTAAAATTATGTATGAATTTTTCAGTTACATTAATACTGTACATCGAACGGTCAGATGCAGCATAAAATTTGATATATTTATGAATTCTTTCAAGTTGCCATACCAAGTCAGCAAAACTTGATACCAGAGTAGTCTAATTATTAACAGTTTGAGGGGTGGTGGAAAAGATTAAACAGGGCATATATGATTGCATAATGAAATATGGATTTATGGAATATAAATTTTCTAAGTTAATTGGGAAAATCGGGGCCCAAGAAAAGACAAATAGTGCATCATCTAAGTTAATCAAAGCCTTTAACCACTGGTTACAATAGTCAGGCAATATGCAGCTGCTTATATTTCTCAGTTAGGCAGTCAGTGACTTCGTGGACTGATGACACGTAATGCTTTGATCACTCTTAGCGTTATTTTTACAAGCTTCTGCACTAGAAAATAAAACGAATCGAATAGGCAGTGGTTGTGGTCTGGTGACTAACGAAATCTCGATTGGCTTTTGTCAACATGCGTCACTTATGGCGAAGGCGAGATATCTGTTTGCTGACCAAAGGACGAGTGTACTGTGCAGTAATTCGTTCCGTCCTACTTTATGTCAGTGTATTCATTCTTTGTGTTCTCTCAAACCCTAAACTTTTTAATTCTTCATCACTTTATCCTTATCTTCTTAAGTCTATTTCACTAGATTCTACTTCAT